AATATACAGTATTTTGGTAAAAAGCAAGCAGTCAATATGATTTTCTCAGCTGTTACAGAACAGGAAAAGTAATTGGTCAAATTTTTATCCACCCAGATTTTTGCATTTCTCAATGTTTTAAGGTCCCAATTCCAAAAAGGGAACAAAATTTTGCATTTGTGTATGAGTGTCTTGGCCTGTATTTTGCTTTATATCTGAGGACTTCGTATCAAAAAATTTGAAATTTGGAGGAATACTTCTATATATCAGGCATTGATTGTACGAAGGCTGGTTTTTTATCAACCTCTGATGATCCATAAAACAATGACAAATGTAAATAACAAAACGAATTTATTATTGAAAGTTAGTTACAAACACGGTTACTTTTAGACATAATCACTGTGAAGATTGAGGCATTTTTCATATCTGTAGATGAGCTTTTCCATCCCCTTTTCATAGAATGTTGCCGCCAATGACTTGAGATGGGCCCTAACATTGTTTTGAAGATCGTCATTAGTCTTGAACCTCTGCCCTCTTAACCACATTTTCAGTTCAAGAAAGAGGTGGAAATCGTTTGGTGCTAAATCGGGGCTATATGTTTAAAATTGGTGAAGACTTCCTACCAGCTTGGAACTTTTTAATGTGTGAAGACTTCCACCTCTGCAAGTTACTGACCTTCAACAATTTAAATGTTATTTGGGTCTGTTTCAATACACAGAAAAATCATTTTCTGACTCTTTTAAGAAACATATCAGCCTTTCATCATTTATTTCCAGCTGAATTCATTTTACATTACCCCATAATATTCAGGTCCGTACAGATCTGAAAAGTCAGGGAATAAGATTTTTAGCAGAAAAAGTTAGGGAATCTGCAAATACTGCAGAATCTGTTGCTCTTGCTCCTTTTTGATCTGATATGTCTTTAATTAAATTCAGTTCAGTATAGGGGATGTATGAAAACTGGAGTGACCAAAACAATGGCAAGATTTGTCATGCTTATATTTCTTAAACTATAAATGATAATCTAACGATTAAAATTTTGTTGGCTAGAGGGTTTATGCCCAAATTTAAATTGATGAGTAGTGGGGTGTGCAGCTGTGAGGGGATTTGCGGTTGCATGTAAACACTGAAAATGGTGCCGCCGCACAGTGTTTGGGCAATGTATAACTTTGGACTGCAAAGTGATACAATGTTGAAATTGGTGATTTGTACAGAATGACAGGACCTACAATGTTATTTAGCAATAATAAGCAATAAAATAGAATTTGTAAATTTATAAGCCAATGTGTATGTGAGTTGAAGAAAATTTTCATAAGGTCGGAAGAAATTGCAAAGGAAATATGAACAGAAATGTAAGGAACATATATCATTGGAAAGAAAAGTTTAAAAGGAATCAGAAAAGCCTGAAATGACTAATGCCCAACAATGCAGTTTGTATAGAGAGCATAAGAAAACCAAGTGTATCAACTCTGATGTGAATACTTTTAGTATGCCATTGTCTGACCCGATAGATAACTCATGCTAACTACTAAGACTTTATTTGTTTACATCTTATCCTTCCTCTAATAACACAAAGACAGATTCATGCCTTAAACGATTGAAATTGTCCTATACACAACTTCCCAATTTTTTTGACCTGCACATCACTTAATTAACTCTTTGCAGTCAGTTGATGCTGTGGAGGGGAAAGAACTGTCATTCAGCTTATTGTGTATGGGACATTTTGGATTATATGGCAGACCTCACACAATTCATGTATTTTTATTTGTTGTGTTCTTTGCTGCTGGCCACATACAGTATGTGGACATAATAATCCTACCAATTTTGACAGATTGATGATCTGTGATATATATTCTCTCTAACTGCAAATTTTCATCTTCAGATGGCCCACAGAATTTTGGAAGTATACTATAATATTGCCATAGCGTTAAAGTTGGGTTGTCAAAAATACCATCAACAAGGACACACTTTATCACCAAAATTTTGCTGCTTCCATTATAAATTTCAAGGAGGGATGGGAAGAAATATAATGACCTTGAATGGGTTCATGCTGGACCAAAAATAGCATGCAATAAGCAATATCTCACTCTCATGGAGTATGCAATTTATTCTGTTTAAATTAGTTTGAATTTTCTGCTTCCTCTCTTTAAAAAAATTTAATTTTACGATGCTACACAAGGTCTTTTTCTTATTTAAATAAAATTTATGAATTAAGTTTTAAAAAATTATGAAACTTTCTGTATGACATAGCTAATTATGTAATTGATTTTATGCAAAGTTTTTCATTTTTTGTAATGGAATAAAGTGTTTTTAATAAAAAAGTTTATATGATTGTGTACAAAATGGACTTAAATAGACTTGACCAAATATTACAGAATGGAAAGGAGAAATGCAGAGACCTTAATAGGTCAGGGAATAATATCATAGTTGGTCAGGGAATCACATATGGAATTACCTGTACAGATCCTGAATATTGCTTGAAATTTTGCAATATTCAGGTTCTCTTCTGTAAGGTCATTGTTCTGTAAACAAAACGTATCATAAAGTAAATAACATATGGTGTTGAAATTTTGCACATGTAGAGAAGACATGCAGGATTTTTCAGAATTGTCAAATTTAAGGAATGGCAATTACATGTAAAAAATCAGCAAAAAATTGTCACCTTACACATGTATATGTTAAAAAAAATTAGTGCATTCAACAATTTTACTTGTTCAAATATGTTTCTTCATTCACTTGATGTTTATTGGACTTATGTATTGTCTGCTAATCAAATCAATATCTTGGTCGAAGTTGTCCTATTTTCAATGAGGTGCTAGAGTACTTTTCATTTATCTAATTCTATTGGCATATATTTATTATTTTTCATTTCATCAATTTAATTTGTTTATACAAATATGCTATGCTTTTATAAAAGTGTGATTGCCCAGATTTGATAAGCTCTTATAAACCTTTCTTTTTTATAAACTTTCATATTCGCTTTAAAATAAAGTGAAATAATGATTAATTATATGAAAGAAAGGAATGAACTTTTTTCCTAACATTTAATAAAATTCTGGAAGGATACAATCGTACTTTTCCCTGGATTCACTTCCTTTTGAAAGTGACAGTTTCCTAGTGTGTCACCCGGCATCTACAACCAAAATCAACTATTGGACCGATTATAGAAAAACTCCTAATAAGGTCATGGGAAAAACTTAGGACAGACCCCCTAATAAAAAGGAGGGGTTGATGAGTCGAGGAGAGTCATCTAATTGTTAGTGAACTGTGTGTGTGTGATCTGAACTGCCGATTACAGCCGTCACCAAACAACCAGAAAAAGGATCAGCCGAAAGGATCTCCCTCTAAACAGAACTGCCGAAGTTCCCATCAACTTGAACATTGATAGGTCATAACGTCGTAGGACCAATAAGGGTTTAAGGTATTTATCATTTCGCGAAAGAGTGTGAGCTCTCTCTCTCTCTCTCTCTCCCTCTCTCTCTCTCCTCTCTCTCTCTCTCTCTCTCTCTCGTGATCAGGGTTGTAATCTTAGTAATAAGGTCCATATATATATATATTCCATACATCATAGTTTTAGCCTCCGCTAAGCATCTATATAACAATCGTCTATATGTCATATTATTAGCATCCACTAAACATCTGTATACAGCTTGTAAATAGTCAATATTGATTAATAAATGGGTATTTTTTTTAATCATATGATAACTTGCAGAGTGTACTTCTTCTGGTTTACTCCTTCAGCCTCCATTTCAGGTCTGAAAGCCTGCAAATGCGACCGCTCAAAATAAAGAAAGAGTGGCCAATCTGGTTTCTGTGTCTGTCCATAAAGACACAGTGGTGTCATTCTGACAAGATGCCAAAGAGGTAACGACCCAGCGTCACAAAAGCATATTGTGAGAAGCCGTGGGCTAAGAATATTACCTTATACCATTTAATCGGCAATCGTTCAATAAAAACCACCCAGTTGGTCACTAGATGGTTTAGAAAAATGTTTATTAAATATAGGAGACGAGAATTGCAAGATTCGATCTCCTGTCATTACCTGACACCAGCTAGGGTAATATATTTACACCCTAACTTGCAATAAAAGACTTTAATAAATTTAAAAAGGAGGGCTTAATTCTACAAGTGGGAGTTTGTGATGGGTACGTTGATAAGGTGACCGTTACTTATCTCAATCAAATGAATAAACAAAGTAATAATAAAATAACAAAAGTTTAATAAAAATTAAAAGAGAATTACAAATAAAAATAACTAATTATTATATCTACTCTAATTACTATACCTGTAAATTGAGAGAGAAAATTTACAATATATTAGATATAATACCTCAGAATATATGAATTTCATAGATGAGGTGACAATAAGTTTCATCGAGAAGGCGGGAGTTGAAAGACCTGGCACAAAATATATGACTTGACGAATTGATTAATTCGTGGTTAATCTGCCCAGAATCCAACATTAAACCCTTTTATACTCAAATCATCTCCAATGAGGAGTTAGACCTCTTGTCATATGACAATGAGTTGGGTTAGTTTAGAGTTTAGTCATAGGATATGATCTAAACTTTGAAGGCAATAAAATGTTGAAAAAAGAAACTGTGTTTCCTTATCCTCTCAGAAAAAAAAGGGAAAAATGTATAATTTTTGTGATAAAATATTACATTGCTTTTGATAATCTAAAAACTAATGAATATTAAATTCAGATTCTCACTTTATTATATATCTTATCAATACAGGGCAGTTTCTTTTAATTTCACTTCATAGCTAAAAAATTATTACAGTTTTGCTTAAATGTATCAGTGACTCAATTTTTTGTAACAGACTGTATCTTAGATCATTCATTTGAAAAACAGAATTATTTCATTATTTGTACAGATTTTATAATAGAATCTCAAAGTTTATATTTAAATAAATATAACTTGATGGAATAATGATTCAGAAAAATATATTTAAATTAATTTAATTATTTTAAAATAATTTAATAAAATATATACAAATAAAAGTATTCATTTATTTCTAGGTAAACTGGTTTTGGAGCAGTTGGGAATTGAAGTTGAAACATATTATGCTAGTGAAATAGATCAAGATGCTATTAACATCTCTCTTGTGCAGCATAAAGGAAATATCATACATTTGGGTGATATTGAGGACATTACTGATGCTGAAGTATTTATTCCTTTCTTTTTGTTTTAATCAAATAAAAAGATTATTAATGTTATAAAAATTTATAATTAATTATTACTCTGCATAGTGAAAATTTTATTTAATAAATAGATAAATATGAATTTTATAGTACTTTTCATTTATCTAATTCTATTGGCATATATTTATTATTTTTCATTTCATCAATTTAATTTGTTTATACAAATATGCTATGCTTTTATAAAAGTGTGATTGCCCAGATTTGATAAGCTCTTATAAACCTTTCTTTTTTATAAACTTTCATATTCGCTTTAAAATAAAGTGAAATAATGATTAATTATATGAAAGAAAGGAATGAACTTTTTTCCTAACATTTAATAAAATTCTGGAAGGATACAATTGTACTTTTCCCTGGATTCACTTCCTTTTGAAAGTGACAGTTTCCTAGTGTGTCACCCGGCATCTACAACCAAAATCAACTATTGGACCGATTATAGAAAAACTCCTAATAAGGTCATGGGAAAAACTTAGGACAGACCCCCTAATAAAAAGGAGGGGTTGATGAGTCNCATTAAATGAATATTATTTATAATAAGCTTGAATGTTTTCGATATTCTAAAATATTATTTTCAGAAACAACATAATCAGACTAGTAGAATATGTGAAATAGATGCCTTTAAAATTTGGAAATATGTACAAAATTTTTGAAAGTAAATATTTTTTACAATAAATACACCTAATTCTGTTTTTACACAAACTTTTTTAAAATGATTTTGATTTAACATGATTTTTTTTTTTTAAATTTGTCAAGTATGATCCTAATGAGGAATGAGCTTTAAAGTTTTAACATGATTGAAATCGTTAATGTTGTCTTGTAGAGAATTATATAAAGGCCTAACCACAATACAAACCCAGCCACTAATAACTGAATTTGTTCATAAAACCACTGTAACATCAGCACCATAGGACATTATTGCTAACATTGTTCAAGAGTTCACAGAAAGAACTTCACCTGTGGATAAAGAACACGATAACCAAAGCATTTTTAGTTATAGCAGTGATATTTTAATCATTTGCAAATGTATGCATTTATTGTCAGAAAGTGACAATGAATAAAATCTTATGTATAACACACATTACATATTCTGCCCAATTTTTATGTTCAAATAACAATATTACTATACCGGAGTAAAGCAAAATAACATACCAGTGAGCCTGTTATCTGTGTTTGTCTCTTACTAAAGCAATTGTTACAAATGTTTTCAAACTCACAAGTTCTTCAGGTAACATACAACTTCTGAATGAATGCGATTCAAATTAGATTGAATTGGAACACCAGTTGGAACTCAATCACCTGGATGACAATAACTACTTATGTTAAACTACTACAGATAATACGGCACATGCCTGAGTGACGTTATTGTCATCCACGCGATTGAGTTTCAACTGGTGTTCCAATTCAATCTAATTTGAATCGCATTAGTTCAGAAGTTGTATGTTACCTGAAGAAGAACTTGCACAAGTTTGAAATGTTTGTAATGGTTGCTTTAGTTTTAAATTTTAATTTTTATGTTCATTAATTCTTTACATTTTTCTGTTTTTCAAGTGAAATTTATGTTCGTGTAATTCATTTTTATTTATGTGCAATGTATATGAAATAAAATTTGATAACACTCAAAAAATAAAAAAAATAAGATTCTAACAAGATTTTTTGTTTGGTTTATTTCATTACTTTCATTGCTTTCTTAGGTCCATAATAATCTTCTAATTTTCCATATATACAATGTACTTTTTACATGATTTTTTTACACATAATTTCTGGGAACCAATCTATTGTATAAAAACAGAATTAAATGTTGTGAGATTAGCCAAGGACGCAGAGCTCAATCTACGCCACTTACGGGCACTAGTCGGTAAAACCAGTTCTCGGTTGTCCAAAGAACGGCCTTTCCCAGTCGTAGGGAAACGAGTGTGGAGGGCTTTACGGTTATATTATAATTTAGAGCGGAAGTTGGTGATGGCGAATTCACCTTCTTCCTTCTGTCAGGTTCCTGACACCAGTTTGTCAATTTATCGATGCGTGGACAAACACGCGTATACGATCTGATTCGAACACCCAATCAAGAGACATTTTTTTTGTATAATAAACAAAGTAAAATTTAATAAATCCAAACAAAGGAATACAAATAACCAATAACAACGATTATCCGATAAGCTAGAGACTACGACTAAATCTATGCTAATGCGCGTTCGAGAGAGAGAGCTCACAAAATGATTCTAAACATACGACCTGTTTAGTTGTCGTCGTCTTCGTTTCTGTAGATATAGGACACCTTGTAGATAGAGTTCATATTACTTTCGTATGGGAGATCAATTCGTGCACAAAATATAAAAATATCACTTCTTCTAAGTGTAGACTCGGACTTAGTCTATCGGACTCCGTTTTGGGCGTTGGCCATCAGGAGGAAACGTATGTGGAGTTTAGATGCTTCGGATCTGTCGAAGAACTCCCCGAATTCTGACTAATCTCCCCTTTTATTTCAAAATTTCGTCCAATCATCGTCCTGTAACTCTTTCGTGAGAACGGACGAAAGGGGGATGAACGAGGGGTAACCATTTCCCATCTGAGCGAGATTTTTAACCAGATACGGAAAAACAGAGGATGTTCTCTTCTGTGAAAGGAAGTAACATTTGTTATCTGGTTTTTCCCACGTCTAATATTTTTTTCACAAAAACGAAGTAATATTTCGTGTCTATATTTAAACATATTTAATAAAAATTCACAAATTAGACCCAGGGCCTTTCGGATCTCAATGTTCATTGAAAATATGTGAATTTACAGAAGGACCATTAATGCATATCAGTATAAAGAAATGTTGCTTATACAGATGAAATCAAAACTATTATAGACTATGTAATATAGAACTATTTTCAAAAGTTTTATATTATCCTACAACAATTTGTATATTTTGTTACTACTACTTCTGTAAGCTCAAGACAATGGATACATACTACTATGGAATGATGTAAAACTTTTAAAAACAGTCCCTAACCTAAAACTTATGTTTATTTGAAAGACTGCTTTACTAATAAAAAAACTAAAGATGATAAATTTTCCTATGTTAGCACTACTGGATCACTGAAGGGCACATTTTACGTACGGTACAGTAGGCATTGTCTATTACAGGAGTTCTCAAAGTTTGCAGGTTAAAAAATTACATCGCTATATTTAAACTATGAATAAAAGTAAATTTGATGATATAAACCTGTTAATTACAGTAATTTACCTTGTTTTATTAATTTTGCCACATGAAATATCAGCTGGATATTTTTTGAAAAATTTTTCAAAAATATTGCACTATATAAGAAGCATATCCTTATTTCATCTTCAACACATTGGATTTTTTTTTTTGTTGTTGTTTAGTTTTCATTTTTCTTTCTTTGGATTTAACGTTAGCAACTGACAAAAACTGAAGAAGAAGAAAACTTGATTTACATATGTATAATGTAGAAAACTGCATCAAAATGAACAAAACTTTTTTAACTACTTGAAGGATATTCTTCTTTAACTGAAATCAAAAACTCTTCAATAAACATATCTTTATGTTTTATTTTTTAGTCTGTGATCATTAAATTTAGAAGCCAGTTCTTCTTCACATAACTTCAAACCAACATTGGATACAATGTTTACAAATGGGCTTTGAACCCAGTCTTAATTTTCTGTTTAATAATGGGAAGTAGAGGCTTAACTTATCTTCCAGAGTTATTAAATGCTCAGCAACAATGAGATTTATTTTCTTAATATGGCTTTTATATAACAAAGAAAATATTTAAAAATTATCATTGTTAGTTTTATTTTTCAAATTGTTACCTTATTTTGAAATGTAATCAGTATACAAGGTTAGAATATTTTCATTTTGACTTTACTTACTTATATTTACACACCTCAACAATCTTAACTTAATATGTCAGTTAAATATTCTATCTTTGACATCCAAAATTTACAATGAAGATATCACAAAGCATTCATGTTTTTATTCTCAAAAAATTCAATAATAATCTTTTAGAGTACATGTACATGACAAAGTATTTCAGTGTTCCCCAGAAATTCTTTCTAATCAGATAGACCAAAAAATATTGTTCAGTTTTTCCTCTAACAATAACATATCCAGTTAGAACTGATAAATAAATTGATAACTTACTAAAGTATGTATTACATAGGAAAGAAAAAGAAAGTTTAATTTTCTTTTGATTTATGTCTCTTTGTCTTGGTGTAATAAGTCTGATAGGCTATCTTAAAGCCATAATATATATAATACTAAAACTAATACTGAAGTTTAGTTTTATTAAAATCATGTTTGTTCATATTTAGAGATAGAAACAATATAACTGGAATAAATGTAGAAATGTGCAGAAGTAGAGTTTATACAGGGATTTCCAAAAACTTGGGGTCAGTCATCATTGTGCAACAAGAATGTTTGCATACATCGTGGATTGTTTTGAAATTATCAGAAGCTCAAATTTATTTACCCTGACTGATTCCTACTTTGTAACCTGCAGAACACAAAATGCATTTTTTGTTGTGGAGTCATCAGTTTTTTTTAATGGCACTTCCTAGGGCAGCAAACCAAAAGACATTTATGTGCAGATGGTAAATGAAATTCAAACAGTTACTCTATTTAGTAATTTAAAATGGTAGCATTCTTTTTGGAAGACCCTGTATAAGTGAAAATTTTTAGAAATAAATATAACTAGAAAATTTGATAGTTTAAATTGTACAGAAAAAATTGTTCTTACCAATATAGACATTTTTTACATCAGATTATATATCTGAAAAGCAAATCTTTACTCTACAAAGACAGAAGTATTAGAAACATAAAGAAGTAAAATAGTTGTAGCAAAATGCAAAATCTATAGTTGTAAATTATTCATAAATCTGAATAGACAGTTTTGAGGTTAATGATGGTCAGTGTCTTAAAGGTTACTTTTCCTGCTATTGTGAATCTTTCGTATACAGATAGAGATAATTTGTCAAGAAGTCAGGTTATTTTTATGAAATCCTGTTGATAGGAAATGCACTAAGAAAATATACAGGATGTTCCATCAACATCACATAAACCCTGCAGAGCAAGAATCTTCACTTGAAGTCCATAAAAAATGAGAAAAACCATATCCCAAGAATCATATCTCTATGACCATAGTTTTCAAGAAAAATGCAAAAGAAAAATATGACATTACATCTGGTGCATGAAAAATAAGCTTTATTAGAAACATGAACAACAGTACTTGCATATGACATTATGCTTACATAGGAAAATACTTAAAATGATCACTGTGCATATCAAGGCATGCATACATATGCCATAGAATGGCTGACTGCACACAATCTTGGTTGCTCATCTTCATGCTGCATTTACTTTTGTATATACAAACATCTCCAACCCGATATATAATATAGCTACAACCAACAGACTGCCGAAAATCTATCGGGCTAGTTTTATGCAGCTACAACCAACAGACTGCCGAAAATCTATCGGGCTAGTTTTATGCTAATTATTAAATAAATTACGTAATCAATTTGGTACTAGAGGTAAGCGTTAGGCGCCATCTCTTATTAATATTAATAATTATAAATAA